GTGAAGGTATAGTTTCTAGTATTTCTACCTTCATGTAACCTTGTTCCTACAACACCAATGGAGCTGTAATTGTCTAACACTGAAAGAACAAATGAAAGAAATACCACGGCAGTAAAAGCATGCAATAAATTTATTGGATTTGTTTATTTATATGAATTAAAAAGTCAACTCTTATGGTTCTGCTGAGGACACAAATTATTCTATGGTGAAATGTGTATGTATATATACTTTTTGTGGATTATACAGACTTGTTATTTGCAGCTGCTGCTATTTCTTTCATCCTGACACAGCAAATATCTCTCCCTAGCAGATTTCTTTATCCCATGCTTATGTTCCTTATTGAAGTGGTGTTGTGTGAAAACAAAGATCAAGACCGAAACAGGAAGGTATGAAGACTCATGAGTGCAGTATGTTGTACCGTATCTTGTTATTATGGTCTGTTTGGAGACATATGCATGTAAACAGCAAAATGTAGTAACAGCTGAATTGGCCAGCATCTCACTCACACCTAAGAGTAATTGTGCTAAAAGTATCTGAAGTATCTAAGGATGCCTGAGGGAAAGTAAAAATAACAAACAATTAAAATGTTTGTTGTGGGTTGGGAAATTATACCTACTGATCTGAATAGCTCCCTTTCAAGCTGATCTCAAACTTGGGGCTGCTTTCTCTAAACAGTCGGGGAACTATGGGTCACAGCATCTGTTACCATCTAGAGTCTCAGCTGAGCATGCTGTTTCCCTCTGTTCCTTTCCTTTGCCAAAAAGAAGAGTAATGACTGAATGCTAAGCATAGATCTAGCTGGCAAAAATGGAAATTCTGTTCTAAAGTATGCTTGATGAATCTTGATTCCAGTCAAAATTGGAACAACAAAGGAAAATATAACGTGAAAAGAAGAGCTGTTCTAATATGGTGAAATGTTTCATTTTGATACAGACTTGCTTTGCCTGAGAAGCCCAGGAAAACTGAAGAAAAAAGTGTAGCATTTCTTTGCCATATCTTAACAGTATACAAGTAAGTCAAAATATTTTCTTTAGATTTCTTGCCTTTATTCTTACACATAAACTGGCACATTTTGGTAAAACATACAGATTTGGATTACTCTTATTTGCTGAATTTAAAAATTTCTGTAAAAAAAACCCAAATACTAATCTCATAACAAAAGCCTGATATGCTCTGAGTAGATCATCAGAATAATTTAAATGGATCCTCAGCTTTGGGCCAAATTCTGCCTGCAAAAGAAATCTTATAATATAGAGCTGTAAAGCTGGAATCTACAGGACCCTTACAGCACTGTGCCTATCTGCAGGCATCACAGCCCTACTGAGACACAACTCTTAATCTGCTTGACAAGATAGGAGGCAGAGGTCTTGTCTGGAGAAAGGGTAGAACACAGAAAAAGAGACAGAGCTACAGGGACAATTGGAACAGATAAGAAACCACCAGCCAAGTAGATTGAAATTGTCAGTGGTTGCCCAACAAGGAGGCCTAATATGCAGGCCTGTTTATGCATGTAAGGAAGGCAGGGCAATACATCTTTAATTCAGGTTTTATAAGCATAGCACCTAAAAAATGTTTCTGTGATATCTGTAGCAAATACTTACCTAGAAATCTGAAGTGTCTTTTTCTCCAGAGCTAGCAGAAATTGTTGAAGAGTCCTCTCATAATTTTGACTTACAGGGAAAGTACTACTTACAAGATAAAGTATTTATATTTTTCTATTTGGTTGGAAAATAAAGAATGTAATATTTGCTGTACGTTGAGTGGACAACAATAAACAAAGCAATATTTTTGAAGTGAAAAATTGCTTGAACTTTGAAATGTTTTGACAAGCAGCCACAATTGACAGCTCAAGAGCAAGCAGGAACATACAGCATGTTTGTGTTCAGTGAGCTAAACAGCTGGAGGGTCTGGAGCTGCAATGCACAAACTACACTTAGCAACTGTCCAACTCTTCTGTCTCAGCAGCTATCGATCATTTTGCCACTAGCTAATCATCTTGCCACTGACCAGGAGCTTCCTGCAGTGTACTTATAACAGTGCAGCAGTTATACCACTGTGAACTGAGAGCAAGGTGGAAAAATTAAAAAGGAAAGGAAAAAAATGGAAGTGGGAAGTGGGAAGAGGGAAAAGGGAAGAGGGAATTGGGAAGGAGGAAGGGGGAAGAGGGAAAGGGGAGAGGAGGGGAGGGGAATAGGAATGGGAATGGGAGGGAAGGGAATGGGAATGGAAGGCAAGGCAAGGCAAGGCAAGGCAAGGCATAGACAACTATTTTCTGTAACCTTCATAAATGATTTGTGAGCTTTCTTAATAGTACTGTTTTTATTCATTTCAATTTAGCAGTCAAACACCATATGGAATTGAATAATCAAAGATTTCATTTAAAGATGTTGAGATTAAATGTCTTGAAACTTTTTTCTGTTTGTCCCTGAAACAGACTTATCCTTTTTTTAGGGATCCATATCAGCTATATATTCCATTTATATATTTGTGTGTTCCTCATATAATATGAGGAATGTGGCCATAACTGATTATCAGCTTACTCCACCTCCTTGAAGTGACATCCATAGACTGATGGATTTCCAGCTGGTAACCAAGAAGCCTGAGTTCTAAAGATAAAGTTCCATGGAGAATTTTGTCGTTAATTTTCCATGTCCTTCATCTGCACCAGATGACATAGCAGAGTGGGTGCCTCGTACTCTGATTCTGCAAGGAAAGAAACAGACTGCAGCAAAATCGGGAGCGCGGTGTGAATCAGTCACAGCGCAGAGCAGAACAAATTTTGTCCCAGAGGCAGTGGCACTCCTCTGCCCGTGGCGCTGATACAGAGCCTGCGTCTGCATCCTTCCGCTGACCGGATAAACACTGCTGTTCCTGCGGTTTGTTCTCGTCCACTGAACATACTATCAAACTGCACTACTGCCAGCTTCACATTCATAAAAAGTTATGACCGTGGAATATGCCATCAGAAAGAAAATACATGGAGCACTGCTCTTATCATTTCTATGGCTGGGCAAGCTGTTATTTATACTATAGCGAAAGTCATGCATCTCTGATAAATCACATATCAGATTCCCCAAAGTCCACTCAGAATACTGAGGAAAAGTTGTGTCAGGCCTACTCTGTTCCATTTCAGAAGCAAAAGTGTTCTCCAGAATTCTTTCTGAATCCGTTAGGCAAAGTTCTATGAACTACATCACCTCTTTTTTACTATGCCCTTCCTTGTCTCAGTGTTTGAAACCTGTGTAGTGATGGTGAGAGTATTGGTGGGATCTTTCCTGACTGCTAGGTTAGAGTGCCTTCTGAACAGAAGACACCAAAATCAGGCTTACAAGCATTTGAGTTTTTGTTGTAAAGGTACATCGTGTGAGAGTTGAGAGTTGCATGGAAGCTGATACTTGGGGTAGCAGAGAAATCCTGAAGCTGAGAGTATCTGTGTCTCACTGAGGTTTATAGTCTGGTGACTAGTTCTTATGATGAAAAATGGACTTTGTAGTGGTGGGTGCCATGATTCATGTGTTCTAGGTTTCTCTGGCAGCTGTATCATCTGGAAAAAGTAGGCACAGTTCGGGGACCAGACTACCATAAAGCACCTTTGGAGGTAAGTTAGGGATTAAAGCAAGAGGGATTGTTTACTTGTTTACCCCATCCTTGCTTGTTATTACTTTTCTGAAGACTGTCAGTAAAAGCAAAGCACATCTCTATCCAGCTGAGCTTCCTAGGTTGATATTAGGGTCTGTCTAAGACATGACTTTCTGAGAGCAATCTGGGTCAGACCCAGGTGGGAAGATGCTGTCTTGAGCACTGAAGTATGCCTTGCTGTGCCTGCAGCAGACACCGAGAAGCTACGGTAGCCAGCATCACTGCACTGTAAGCAGGCTCTTAGTCTGCTGTGCCTGCCAGACCTGCTTGCCTTTCCCCGCGAGGCTCTCCCTGACCTTCAGACAAAATCAACCGGCGAGACTATTTTACCGTGTACTGATCACTCCATCGCACCACTCCCCCGGCTCGGGCTCCCCTTTCTACCGTCCCCGTCCTCCCCCGATCACTTCGGCTCTATAGGGGTTGCACCAACGGTAGAATCCCACCTTTCGGGCTGGTGACAGGAGGCCCGATCCGCTGTAGAACTCATGCCCTCTCCACCCAACCCCGAGAGGGCTGTCGGCATGCCCTGTGCCCGGGGTTGGGTACTCTGCTTGGAGCACCGTTCCTTCCTCTTCTTCAAAATCCGTCCCGAACCCGGGATGGACAGCGGACCGCAGCCTTCACGCTCTTCAGCAGGCGACCGCACGGAGGAGGGTCCTTCTCCTCCCCTCCTTGCCCCCGCCCTCCCCCCATCTTCTCTTGGGATACAGACGGATCTGGATAGGGAGGGAACGGAGAACTCAGCCGGCGATCCCTCCGGCCACGATACAATCCAAGCCGAAGGAGAAGAGAGGACGAGGCACTGCTCCCTCCCTATTTTCTTCGCGGCCTGTAACTCTTTCCAGGACCTAGGGGATGTCCGGGAATGACCCAGAGCGGAAGACGCGGATCGCTCCCACACTTTCCCCCCTTTTGCAGGAGGGCGTATTTGCAGACGTTTCCCCACAGTCCTGAGGATAAGCAAGGAAGCAGTGGCAAAATACAGCAGCGGGCTAATCCCTCCCCTATCTCCGCCAGGCGAAGCGACAGGGATCCGGGCGCACGCAGACAGCGGGGATGGGGCAGGGATACACACATGGACTCGCGCATCCGTCCGCGGGGCTGGCAGCGCCGGGGACCTTCTCCGCGGCGAGCGCCGAGGGGCGAGGGCGGTGCGGGGAAGGGGCGGGGGAGCGGGAAGCAGGGGGAGGGCGAGAGCCCGGCTTCTGCAGCGGGGGGAGGAGGAAGGAGGGACCGTGTAGGTGGGATGGTCCGGAAATCCCGTGATAAAAAGAGGAGCGCGGGGGAAAAGTAGGGAGAAGCTCCGGAGTCATTCGCTCTCCTCCACTCCTCGCCCGCAACTTGCCCGCTGGCACATGGGCGCCAGACGGAGCCGCTAGCGGCGGAACGACCCGCAGCACCTGTCCAGCACCGCACAGCACCCGCGTAGTCAGCGAGGTACAGGCGCGGGGCGGGACGGAGGGTGCCGTGTTGTGCCGTGCCGAAGGGTTGCGTGCTGGCAGCGTGAGGGAGAGCAGCGAGGAGAGGCGGCTGTGTGCACGCGGCGGTCGGTGCAGCCCTCATGGCACCGGGGAGCCGGCGCCGGGACCAGCGGAGGGAGGCAGCTGGCTGGGCGGAGGGGATACCGCGCTGCACCCGCCGTCGGTCGGTCCCCAGCTTCGGCAGGGCATCTCCCAGGGAGATTCTGGCGATGCGCTGGGATCCCCGGCGGAGAAGTGTCGCAGCCCCGCGTCCCACCGCCACGGCTGCATCCCCGCCGCGCGTCTTACCCGCTCGCCCCGCCAGGCACACGCGGAGCGTTTCACCTTCAAATGCCCCCTCCGGAAAGCCAGGTGGCGGGAGGTGCGGGCGGGGAAGAGGGAAAGTTCGGAGCTTTAACGCTTTCTCGTCCGGCTGCCTGCGGGCGCGCTACCGGCCACCCGGCCTCTCGGGCCACCGCCGCTCCCCTGCCCTCTTGCCTTCACCCCCGCACTGCTTGGCATTCCCCTGCCTTGTCCTGTAGAGCCGGGGTCCGAGAGACGGCGGCTGGAAACTTGGCAGGGAAGAAGGGCGGGGGGGGAGGGAGCAAAGAGCCGCCGTTTTTCCTCCGGGAGAAACCGCTCTTCTCGTGTCTGTGCCCTCCCCGCAGGCTGCCCGCCGCCGATTGCCGGACTCTGTGCATGCGAGGTGTGAAGCTGGGCTGCGCCCCTGAGCCATCGTCATGGATTTTGTGATGAAGCAAGCTTTAGGAGGTAAGTACGGCCGGCACGTGGGGGGGGATCGCATCGTCCTTTCCCCCTCGGTATAAGACGTGATGGACCGCTGGGAGCCTCCGGTGGGGCTGTGACCGGGAGAACTATTTGGTGGCTGCAGAGGGACATGCCAGCCAGATTCGTGATCCCAGAGCAAAGTGCTGGAAGAATCTGAGCAGGAGAGGGCAGCAACAAGCAGACACCGAAGCCCCACGGCAGATGTGCTGGAAGTACCTGGGCGGTGCTGGGAACCTACCAGCTGTGTCCTGCTGTACCACGCATACCTGCTGTCTTGCTTTGTGAGGCAGCAGTGGCAAGGACAGCAGGCAGATTTAATCAGGAGACTCCCAAAGAGTGACGTCTGCCTTTGTGAGGGAGCTTCTCCTCCATCCTTCCCCTGAACTTTGGGCAGACACTGACCAATAGCCACTGCAGAGAAATTTGGTTTCTGTGACCTAGCATTTGGGAAGTGATGTTTGTTAATAATATTGCTGCAATAAAAAATAAGGTATTCCCAGGAAAAAATAAGGTATTCCCTCACAACCAATGTAGTTATGGGACAGATCTTTAGTATGGTTTTAATATATTTCCTTCCATGTGTGACGACTCACTTTAACCTAATGGTGGGAAGAAAAGGCAGCAGTGTGGGGAGAGAAATGGAAAACAATACAAAAGTGTTTGGGAGTGAGATTTCTTTTTTCTGACACAGTTGCATTGCCTTGCTGGTCTGCTTGTCCCAAATGTTCAGACAAAGTGAAATTGTCATTGGGATGATACTGAATACAGGCTGCCAGTGGAAAGTGTTTGGCCCACGAGATGTTTCTGATCATTCTCTCTTTTTTACTGTAACTGATGTGTGCGTTTTCCATTAATTTTCCTTTGGTTAAACTGTAGCCATGGGACTGAGAGGATGTCTCATGCATAGTGTTACTGATACCATATGCTGAAGTACATGGTAGAGACATTTACTGCAGGACAGTTTTCTGTGGCATGGAAATGTGTTTTTCATTTTTGCAAGGGATGAACTGTTTTCTCACAACGGAACAAAATCTCATAATTAAGGATAGAGTGATATCCCAAGTTTTCACTGTGGTGTTTTGAATGTCAAGGCCAAATATGAAGAAAGGTATCTTCATATCCTGCTATTTTGTGTGATTGAACTAGATCCTATATGAGAAAATAAATGTTCCTATGGTAGCGGTGTTGCATTTCATCACTGTTTGTGCCTGTTTGAAGGACAAATATTCCTGAGGAGAGGAGGTTTTACACAGGTTATCTACACTGTAAGGCTGCTTACATGGAAGTGAACTGGGATCTGCATGGAAAATCCAACCTGTGCAGCTGGAGATCAGACAGCCCACTGAAGAGAAATAACTGCTTGTAGACTGCAGTTAGAGGCAAGGGGTGGAGGGCTGCAGCAGTGGAGTAACAGCTGAGGTCTCACTGTGCATGGTCTCACTGTGGGGTAGTGACTAGCTGAAGTAGGGAGCAATGCGTGCTTGCACCAAATAGCATTTAATCTGGGCAGGCATTCATTCTAACATAATCCTGCATGCCAGGGTCAGGATTTGCATTATAACAGAAGATGCTGAGAAGTCAAGTTCAGAAAGGATCTGCTGGTGGAGCCTGAGTATCTCATGTCTCCAGCAAGATGCTGCCCAGGGCGCCAGTTTTTCTGCCAGATGACATAGTATATTAGCAAGCTGTGCCTGGCATTTGCCCCTTGCTGGATAGAGGAGAAGGCTCTGCAGACTAGTAAAAAACAGGAAATGTTCATTCATTATGCAGAGATGTATTTTTAACTTAGAAATGGTTTTGAAGAGGGAAAATAGCTACTTCCAGGGCAGATATATAATAGAGAAAGTTAAGGTGCTTTTGGACACCGTTTTCCCATCCAGTGGTAAAGCCACAACTGATGCAATCATGATCCTTCTGGGAGTTCTCCTGTCTTTGAAGCAATCTCTGAACATGTTTCCTGGGTCTCTAGTGGCATGAGACAATCAGATACACATTTCCCCGGAGCTTTGCTCATCAGAGGGGTAGAAAACAGGAAGGTGTTTTGGAAAGAGATTGAGGTGAGTTAACAAGAAAGAAAAGGCAGTTATGTTGTGTAGTGTAGGAGTTTGGGAGTCTGTGTGACTCCAGAGGATTGGGGTTATGTTAAATTAGTTTGACAGGTTATTCTGAAGCAGAATATATTCATTCCCTGACTTGTAGTTAAAGGGGGTCTGCAGAAGCTTGCTCTGTCTGTGCAGTGGAGATCTCTCCTCTGTTGTGCTGCCAGCACTGGGATTTTGCTGCTAGTCTTGGCAGCAGTCATTGCTTGGTTGTTAGCAGGCTTGAAATGTCTTTGCAAATTCTTGCCCCTTCAACGTAAAATTCCTGACCCTCTCATCAGCAGTGGGAGCTGTGGTCCAGTAAAGCACTACAAAGTATTACCTCACTTGGCCAGCTGGTTTCTATGGCATTTTTATTTTTTTCTCCACTCAGGACATTCCACTGCCCTGTATAGAAAGTCCCCCCTTGTGCTGTTTATGTTGCAGTGCAGGCACCACAGATTTGAAATGCAGTCATGATTCTGATTTGCTGTGTGGGATGACAAGAAGAAAACAACAAGGGGAAACTTGAGAGCTTAAAATCACTGCTTCTGCCAGAGAAGTGCCAATGACAGCAAAAAGGTATTTTTACCTCTGCCCATAGCCAGATCCATGCCACACCAACTGATATTGACACAGATGTCTCTTGGTCATTTATCTGTTTCTGTGACAATTCACTAAGTGAATATAACCAGCGTGGTTGCATGACTGCATTTCACATTAGGAGTGTTCTTTAGCAAGACAAATCAGAACTCTGTATCACTGTCATCTTGATTTATAGGCCAAGATGTATGACTTCTCAGGAAAATGTTGGCAGTGAAAGACCTAATACAGTCCCAGGAAGAATATAACTATGGTATTTTTCAATGAACATCACTTACCTTTGCACTGGTTATGTGAAAGTAAGGGATGCTTTAATACCTGACCGCTAGTCACACTGCATTGGCTCACTTCCTCTATGACTGTGGACTGGACAAACAGAGAAAATGGATTGAAGGAGAACAGATGCTAACTCTCATTAAGCTTTGCTTTGCCACCTCCTTTTACTGGAAGTCTTGAGGGTCAAGGGACTTAGGCATTTTCTTAAAGAAAAGAGAAGGGGAAGCCCAAGGAAGAGTGAGGCAGATTTCACAAATATGTGATCACCATACAGGTTGAGAAGCTATGAAGGTAAGGAAATTACACGGCCGCCAGAATAGCTCTTACTCTGCTTTATATGATGTACTGCTGGCCCCTTTTAGTGTGCTCCTTTTATCAGCAGACAGAAGAAACATGTAACTGCTATGCCTATCCTTAATGGTGACTTCTAATGTCAGCCTCTGTATTAGTCACATAACATATTTCATATCATGATGCATGTAAAGGGTACTGTCTAAATTCTTTCTTCATACTGTCCTAATCCCTTGAATTCACTGTTTAAGCCCCGTGAAGGAAAAAGAGCACACTTGTGTTTCTGATTAGACATTCACTGGGCTGTATTACAGACATTTCAGTTTTATTGGCAGCAGCTTAGAGAGAGAACTACTGCTTGGCACTGAATTCTTTATCCATCAAGATTCAGTGGAAATTTGTTCATAAGGATTCCTAAAATACAGTAGGCAGAAAACAAATGCAAGCAGATCGCCATCTGGAATATGTCAGCAGGTGGGACTGACTGCTTTCTGTCCCCCAGCTGCTGCTTTGGTTCCGTTATGTATATCATAGATCTCAGTCAAGCAGAAATCCTCTTGTTCTTGAAGGTAGGCAGAGATTTAAACCCTCCCAAAGATAATGGGATTTAAGTCACTGCCCAAAAGCTCTGAAAAAGCTGGCCCTATGCTATGCTTGTATTAGTAAAGATATGAGTGTGCAAAGGGCAGCTAAGCCTGGATGGAAACTATTGGTGTTTAACAACATCTTAGCAGCTTCTTTCTCTGAAGCTTCTGAAATGCATGCTTTGCTGCTGGACTTTACTAGTTTGTGATAGGCAGATCAAATCCTTGATTTGCCCTGGAGATGTCGATAAGATTGAGCACTGTGAAAGTCAACACATATCTGTCCAGGGTGGCACAGAGCATAAAATGGGCACAGTGGTTTCTGTCTTCTCCTCCTCCAACTCAGCTTTTCTCTCACATTTGCAGTTCTCTGCTGAGCCTCTCCTGCTCTGGGACCTCATGCATCACTTAGGATGAGCTCCATTGCTTATGTTAATGTTTGGTCCTGGAGTGGGATTGAAATTGCAATGCAGAACTGCAAGTTGTAGCACCTAGACATAGTGCTGGTATTCACAGCTGGGGTCTCCTTTGCCTGTAATCCTTGAGATATGTGACATATGAGGTATACTGTTTTGCTGCCAGATGCTTCCAGGAGAATCTCAGCAGGAGACCTCCACCACACTGTGGCACTTGGTAAGTGCTGGGGGCCCAACTGCCTTTGTTCTCAACTTCTGAATTGTTAAGTGAGTAAATGCATGAGATGAAGGCTGCAACTTCAATCTGTAATGTGATTGTGCTGTTGATCCACTGTTTTCTAGATCCTTTTTTCTTTGTCTAATGCTTTGACTACATGCATTTTAATGACACTTTGAAGATGAAGAGGTAGCATTGATATCTGATGGATACATTTTTCAGAAGGGATGGTATTATTGGATTTTTTTAATGCATACTGCTGGCAAAGATATTTTCTTCAAGGAATTGGATTATGCTGAATGCAGTCATGATGTCTGTTGCTGAGATGGGGGCAACAGAAAAACAAAGCAAACATAGATACTGTATTTGTTTAAGGCCTTTTAATCTATAGCAGATAAGAATCTTCCTTGTTCATTTTTCTTGGTGCCAGATCCTTCCGTGGTAATCTATAGACATTTTTTCTTCAGGAAATCCCATTAAAACCAAGGAGAAAGAAGTTTCTCAAGGAAGCAAATCA